GTGCGGGCCCGGAGCCGACCCCTTCCCCCCACGTCCCCCCCCGCAGCCAGGGCCGGCTGTGTCTGCTGGGAAGCGTCCGGCACGCAGGGAGCGCCCGTGGGGATGGAATTCCTGCAGGGGGGCCTGCGGGCACAGCCCAGGCCTTGGGCTCATGCGGGGACACACAGATCACTGGAAATTGTAGGAAGCGGAGAGGAAAAATGCTACAAATGTGCGAATTGATGGGATGCTCCTACCTCAGGAACGGTCAGAATTCCCTCAAAAAAAAAAAAAAACCCTTCTCACTTTAAGCCCTTATTCTTTATCGTTCTTCACGGTCCCTGATAAGGGAAACGCTTCTTCCCGTGGCAGCGAATACGGACGGGAACCGCGTTGGAGCCCTGGGCTGGGCTCGGAGCAGACGCTCCCGCTGCTCCCACGGCCTCGGCCTCCCGTTTTACTGCTCGGCCACCCAACAGAGTCAAATCTTGCACTGATTCTTCGAGCTAACCTTAATATTTTTCCTTACAAATTCTCTGCATTTGTAACTCATCCTCCCTCTTACTTAAGGCATGGATATACCAAACAGCACGGGACTGAGGAGTTAGTGCAGACCCAGAAAGCTGAAACTGGACATTTCTCCCTTGCCTTTATTTCTCCTTACACAGTTATTCGTCGAGGCCAGAACCCATTCTCACCCCGTGGCAGCTTCCTTGCAGGAGTCCTTGAGATGAGGTTTTTTCCAGAGCTTTTTGGAAACGTCCTCGCGGTGCATGGGGGTGTCACCACTGCCCACCCGTTCGCTGACGCCCTCGAACAGCCCGTGGAGCCCTGCGAGCTCCACGTCCCTCCACAGAAGCTTCCAATGGCAAAGAGCCCACATCCGGCAATGTGGCTATAAATGACATTTTCGGAGCACCCCGGGTCCCTCCGCAGGGGCTGCTGTCACTTCTGCTGCTTCCCCTGCCCTGCTAACGGCGCTGGACACGCTCAGCCAACGCGGCCAGCAGAGGAGCAATTCCCTCCTTGGAGCCTTCAAATCGCTTAGGCAAACACCACCGGGGCCTGGCGACTATTCCAGTGCTGCTCTTCCAAAGGCACAGCCACCAACGGCTGTGGACAGCTCCTGGGAGGAAGCCTCCCCTCGGGAATCTCCCGAAAGGCCCCGCAGCGGGTGCTGCCGCCCGGAGTTCACGGAGATCTTCCGCTCTGCTCCCGCTTCCTCTGGTTACCTGCGCTCCGTGCTCTCTCCATCACGTGTGCACGGGTGCAGAGGAGAGGCAGGTTGTCTGTAGCAGGAGCACTTTGCCCACTCCTGGGATTTCCTCCCAACCTGCTGCACCTTCCTTCTCCTCACCTCAACACAACTCCACCTTTACCAGCAACTGGCGATTTGTTTCTAACAAAGCCAAGTTCTCTACTTTGCAATATTCTCCACACTTCTTAGTATTGCTCTGCATTTATCATGAGCCACCAAAATGTTTCCAGGCCACCTACAAGCTTTTTCTATCCTGTTACGATACCCTTTTCTTCTCAAATAACCTCCTCATACTTACGTATTTCTGTACTACAAGCTTTTTCTATCCTGTTACAATACCCTTTCTTCTTAAATAACCTCCTCATACTTACGTATTTCTGTATCTTAAAG